GCTGTACTGACAGTGATGCTGCATACCACGCGAGTGGTTTGCGAAAAATCATGTTGTTCTTTGGTCTTTGGTGTCCTTTTAAGCGAAACTTTTGCTACTCGCAGATTTCGGCGGTGGCGTCGTACGCGAAAAAAACCTGCGCTGGTCAGCGTGAAGTAGAAGGGGAATTCTTTCAGCTGAAGAATGTGACTAAGGTTTTTTATCTGACGCAGTATCAGGAACGTGGTTAGATATTCATATGTGTCATAGAGGAGAGAGTTATTTATCTCTGTTTTCGTGCGCAGAACGTGCATGGAGGCATAATGTGCGTACGTACACTCGAAACTTGATTTACGGGAAGTCGAGGGGACGCTCGAATTGTTTCGTTAAATCGACAATTTCGTAAAATCCCGAAAGGAATGTTTTTTGCTCCTTCGGAATTTAAATTTTAACGTAGCAGCACCCAAAAGGTAGCAGGACATAGCTTCGGTCGACAACTCATTCAGGCGCGTCTGAAAAATCCGCAAGAGTGGCCAGGCATAAGGTATCCACGTGCGATGTAGGTCGGGTATCAACGCTAACGTCGTGCTATTACCGTCTACGTACCGATATGCGAGGACGAGGAGAACGAACGCAGTGACCGTGTGAGCGGAGAAAGACGGGAGGAGATAATCGCTGGTAACCGTCGCTCAAACCATGATATACCCAAAGCAGCCACCACCGCCTCTGGCATCATTCGGTGTGTAAGAATGCTCCCGGTTGCCGAGTCTGTTCTTCCGTGCATTGGCGCGACGTGCGGCCTCGTCAAATCAAAAGCTAGGGCCGCAACTGGGGCACCTTGATATGTTTCCACGTGATAGCGTTAGAGCGCATGATCGAAGTGAAACTCGTAAGTCGCTCAAGATAGAAAATCTCGCTTTCATAACTGAATACAGGAACAGCGCAACCTAGAAGTAGTTACTTCGTAACTACGGAAGCGAAAAAACAAGGACAGAACAGAGCGCTGTGTCCTTGTTTTTTCGCTTCCGTAGTTACGAAGTGACTACTTCTAGGTTGCGCTGTTCCTGCATTCAGTTATGTCCTACCAACTTGCCCAAGCTTCCACGCTTCTCGCTTTCATCATTCGAAGAGAAGCTTTGCTAAATTTGATTATAGTGGATTAGTTCGTTAATTCGGGTCAGTGGCAAAAGTGAATCCTATAATACCCATATAGGCAGTGGCGTAACTAGATAGGACGGCGCCCAGGGCAAATATATTTCCGCGCCCCTCATTATGCCCGTGATAATGTTTGTTATTATTATTATTATTATTATTAATAATAATAATAATAATTATTATTATTATTAATAATAATAATATTATTATTAATAATAATTATTACTACAGCTCCTATTAATAATAATAATATTATTATTAATAATAATAATATTATTATTAATAATAATTATTACTACAGCCCCCCCCCCCCCCCATTAAAAGCGCTAATGTAGGCTTCCGCGATTGCCTACTGGCGCGCGGCGGGCCATTTCGGAGGCCAAGGGCCACCAGTTCTGATTTCGATGAGCTACGCCCGCGTTTTTGTATAGTATTTTTCTTTTTTTATTCAAACTTCCGGAAGTCCCTTACCCGTCATTGTTCTCTTCCAGTCCACACTGCAAAAATCTTGACGGCACGGGCGCTTCCCAGGCCCAAGTTTCTCGTACCTAAGCTTTCGCGCTATTTGTGCATCCCAAGGAATGCAGGGTGAGTACAAAACAAAGCAACCAGCTAGACACCGCGCCCTCGGGTCTGGTATGGGGGTTAACTGGTCGGAGTGTTCTGCCGTTTCGCTCCGTTCGCTGTTCCATTGATGGAGGTCATCCTTGTGCGGCCGCATTCTTTCAGGGAAGTTCTTGGTTTCTCCAACGTACGAAGCGGGGCAGTCGGCACATGCTGTCGGGTACACTACGCTCTGCGCTTTTTTCGCAGGTGCGTGTTCTTTGGGCCAAAGGATGAACCTGCCCATGGCGGTGGATGGCATGTGGGAAACGTTGACCCCCGCCCTTCTATTGCTTTGCTGGCGCCCGCGATGCAGGGAATCAACAAACGTCGCCGTCGTGTCACGCTTTCTCCGTCTTTCCTCCAGAGAACTCTGCGAATAAACGCCTTTGTTTAGCCTTTGGTGCCGAGGTCACGGATTATATTCGCCCTTCCTTCCGCCGCTGCGTGGACGATTAGTCGTTGGACGATCGGCTATTTCGTTGGAGTTTTCTGTTCTTACTCAAAAAAGGTGCATTCGAACTTTTTTATTTTATTTTGTTTACGTACGTGGTTGGTTTCAGGGAAGCTTTCAGTAAGTGGTTTGGGAGGCTGGTGGGGTTCGCTGAAACTCATCTAACCCAGTGCTGCGGAGCACAAAACAAAGCTTAGCCGAGGGTCATGGGAAGGCACGGAGGTAGCGCAGCAAAATGAAAATAGAGGATCCTTTTCCCGATGCAAAAGCCATTGCGGCAACCCTTTCCTTCACCACCATCCCCACTTCCAGTCGTACATTACAACCTCGCCCCTCCCCCCTTCCAGGCGGTTTTACGGAAAAAAACATTGACAACCTTTCCAGGGGGCGCCAACCCGAGGACTCGGCTTGGCGCCCCCTCCCTAGTGGCGCCCGGGGCACTTGTACCCCCTTGCCCCCCCCTAGTTACGCCACTGCATGATATAGGGTTTCGTGTCATCTGCTTGAATTAACGAGTCTCTCAGGGCCCCAAATCTGATCTGCTTTTTTTTTTTCGGAATAAAAGTACAAAAGGTCATTTGTTTCGGATTTCGAAACGGACTGCTTTTTTTTTTCAGCTGCACAAGGAAATATCTACGCTTCGTGCTACAAGCGGCGGTTGTCTTCTTTTTCTTTCTTAACTCTTTCGCCACCTTGCAGGTTTCAAGGGGCTTCGGCTTTGTCGAGCTGTTTCTGAGAGCCTTTTATGCGCCTCCAATGTCTGCACCGCTATGAGACCGAAAAGAAATAATTTGAATTAAGGAAAACTCCTTCCTCGACTTCACGATTTAACAAAATAATTTGATGGCGGTCATCGCTATGCCAAATCGAGTTTAAAGTACGTAGTTTTTTTTTAGAATGCCTTACGCAACAATGTCGCAACTTTGATGTGTGATAACTCATGAGAACTCCAGGAACTTAACAGGTCAGCTGCCTTTAGAGTGGCACACGCGTAATCTTTCATGACAACTGCTAGTTGATTCGAAAAAGCAGTATGTGATGGAAAGTTGATCGATCTGTGGTAGGTCAACGATCTGTATGCTTATCATAACAAATGTATTGAAGTAGCATTTGCGTGGGGGGGGGGGGGGGGGGGGGGGGGGGGGGGGGTTAGTGTTGTTGAAAACAGTATACCACGTATACCAAATGTGGCCTTGGATCAAATCCCAATTGAACCCGGTGTGGGCATATATTTGTATTTATGTTGATTGATTGATACGTGGGGCTTAACGTCCCAAAACCACCATATTATTATGAGAGACACCGTAGTGGAGGGCTCCGGAAATTTCGACCACCTGGGGTTCTTTAACGTGCACCCAAATCTGAGCACACGGGCCTACAACATTTCCGCCTCCATCGGAAATGCAGCCACCGCAGCCGAGAATCGATCCCGCGACCTGGGGGGTCCGCAACCGAGTGCCCGAGACCAGCGCGGCGGTACGTATATTTGTACCTATAATAAATCATAAATAAATGAATAAGGAACCGTTTAGGCTGTGTTCTGGCCAAACTTCATGAATATCCGCATTTTCAAGAAAAAAAATTTGTAATTAGTGACTAAGCCTCTGAAACAAAACGATTTTTGTTGTCGCGGTTTTTTACCGGCAGCACTTTCACGACCCTTAGAAGTGTGGCAGTTTGGGCTAGTTGGTATGGCAAGAGGATAGTTATAGCGCGAGAACAAAACGACGTCGTGTCCTTCGTGTCCTTGTCTCTGTGTCGTCGTTTTGTTCTCGCGCTATAAATATCATCATTTCACGAGCCGCCATGACGTCCGCCGCGGTGGTGTAGCGGTTACGGTACTCGGCTGCTCACCACTGGTCGCGGGTTCGGTTCCGGCCATGCCGGTCGCATTTTAATGGATGCGGAATGCTAGAGGCTCATGTATTGTGCCATGTTAGTACACGTGAACGAACACCAGATGGACGAAATTTCCGCAGCCCTCCTCTATGGCGTCCCGCATAATCACACCATTGTTCACATATTGCATATTATTTCCCAATCATATATTCACAATCACATGTTCACAATCACATTTTATTTACTGTAGTGACCTATTTTCATGAGTAAGCTAAATGAACGGTGGAAAAAAATTAATATAAAAAACACTCACGGTTTGCACCTGTCCGTATAATATCGGGCAAAGAAAACAGGACCGTGTTATCAAGGATGTTACGACCTGTGGTATGATACACTTTTAGTTTCTTCGACGTGCACGCACTTGTCTCGAAAACACGTGCATGCGGCAAGCGTTATGGCCGCACACTCACCCACGAGGCGCCGCAACGCTAATTAGACGCACTTCCGGACGTCTTCACACACGCGGCAAGCGGCGTGAGCACACCGGGTCAGCCGCGAAACGACTTCGCCGCGCGCGGCGTTGACGAAACACGCGGTTTTCTCGCTGGCACACGTCAAGTGTGTGACGCAGTTTCCCGTCGCGTACTTGAAACACGCGCTTTCAACTTCGGTGAGCTACGCCTCCGCGTGGCGGTATGGCTACTCGGGCGCAGCGAGCGTCGTTATCGGGACGCTGCAGTAATTAGCGCTTGTTAAACGAGCGCGCGCAGTGTTCGCCCGGACGCAGCTGGCTGTCCGGTGTAATGGGTTGCGCGTGATTGTTGAATGTCGTCGTACATCAGCCAGCGAGCGTGTCCGTATCGCAGCGGACTGATGGACGAGCGAGGCGTGATGCGGCTGAGATGGAAACCCCACTCCGTCGTTGCCTTATAAGCGAAAGTTTGGACCGGTCCGGCTGCAGACCGTGAGGGCCACTGCTTGCGTGTCCTCGCCAGAGGTGAGTATAGTCCTACGGACACTCGGAGCTCCGGTGCTCGGATGATAGCGGATTTCGCCTCCACAACTTTAAGACTGAACTTTTGAGATAGCCGCCACGAAAAAGTTTCGCTGATTGGTATTTTGGCTGATGACATCTAACTGCACGTGGTAGTAAAGTCACACACATGTAATGCTCGAAGCTACTGAGCCTAGAATCATGCGTGTTTCACGATTCGTTGATGTAGGCACGGCGGAACTGAATTGGCGGTTTCAGCTAATATTTTCCAACAATTTGGGAAAATGTGGTATATATGGAAACCCGCTGGGCATTGCATTTCAAATTTAGACTCTGAATTTTCCACTCTTAGTACTGGTCAACTTTGAGCTCAGATGCTTATCCCGGCCGAGCATATCGAGTCCAAATGTCCGTTTGATTGCCCTTCATGTACGTACGTTCGCCAAATGATCATCTTATGCAGCGTGCTAAAACTTCGTCGTAATAGATACGAAGCCCGAAATAGGAGGAGATTAACGGTTTTCATACTGTCATACCGAATCGAAACGAATTCACTTATCCGAAACTTGGTTGAATGGCCATATCCAATGCGATTTCCCGAGACTCTGTGGTCTTGTAGAAAATACTGATGTACATTACAGATAGTGTATAGATTCTAACATTTTTTATAGAATTGAGTTGAACTGGGTAGGGTGACGCTGAAAGATACTGCAGTGGGCGTAAGACTCCGGCAAAAAAATGCCGGCATCTGGATATACGAGTTTTTCAATATTTCGGGAGAAGTGCAAAAAAACAAAGACTGTTGTAACATGTCCCTGCAAATATGGCGCACAAGTGGCTTGGGGGTAACTAAACGAATGTATTTCGCTCCTTTTTATATCTCTATGTAATGACTATAGCCTTGGCAAAACAGGCCCGGTATATTGCTAGATTTAGCACGAGTACCATAATATTCTGAGTGTTATTCAAGAAACGTCGTACGAAATCATGTGTTCATATCAACTGTGACACTTAAGTCTCTACGAGAGTCGGTTCAGTTTTGGAAAGACGTAGGCACGCCATTGTTTCGGATAACGACATGTCTTCTGTTTGCTACATCACCCTTTCCCTGCTCCTCCTCCGCGCTCCAGGCTGCCATCCTCAGTATGACTCGCACGTTTGTTCCGGTGGCACTCTGGCTATGCGCGACGCTGCTCGGTCAACAACACTATGTCCAGGGAGCGCCGAGGCCCGTCCGTCAGATCAGTCCAGGTCTGTTGGAAGAGGGTAGCGCTCAACAGAAGGTCACCCAACAACAGTCTAAAACCCTGACTAAGCCCTTCTCCCATGCAGTTGACCATGGTCCATACACGGCCACCGTCCATGCGACGCCATTCATGTCATCCGGAGCCCTGGGTGGCATCGGGTCCGCTCTCGGTGGCCTGCACAGCACCGTAATGGATGGCCTGCACGGGGCACTGCACGGCGGCGGCATGTTGGGAGGCGTCCCGGGCTTCCACACTCCGCTTACCGCTGCAAGTCACTTGCTGTCGGGGACGTTCGGCGCTGTGGGACATCACCTGGGTGGCCTAACAGGGGCAAGCCCTCTAGGAGGCCTCACCGGATCTCTCACATCGCCGCTCTCGGCCTTGTCTCCAGCCCTGAACGGCCTGTCCGGTGGCATTATTCCAGGCACCGCAGGTGGTGGCATGTCCGTACTCACTCACACAGTCCACTACGGCAGCTCGGGCGACATGGGCCTTGCCGCGGCCGAGCACCAGCATTTGACGAGTACGGCCAACCAGCACAGCCTTCTAGCCAGCCAGGCGCTGGCCGCCGCGGATGCTGTCGAGAACGCCCAACTGCAGGCCTCTCTTGCTCGGAGGCACCTCATCCACAAGGCCCTAGCGCACCAGAGCCTCGCGAGTCAGGCGCAGATGATGGCCCACAACGCTCACGCACGTCTACTTCAAGCACAGGCTGCGCACACAAGCGTAATGTCAATGTACAATAACGGCGTTGGCCAAGGCTATCCCATGATGGGCATGCCGGCGTACGGAGGTTACACAGGAGGAATGATGCCCCTAGTAGGTGGTGCCATGGGCTACGCTGAAAACCCTCTGCATAGCATCATCAGGAAACATTGCACGACTGTGCGTTATATCAATGGCGGTGGTGGGATGTATCCAATGCCGTTGGGTCTCTCGAGTGGTCTCGGTATCGGAGGAAGCTACCCCTACGGCATACACAACGCCATGGCCATCGGGCATGGACTCGGCGTCTACGGCATGCATGGAGCGTACGGAAGTAGTCCACTTCTCGCCGGTGGCGTTTCGCCGCTTCACAGTGGTCTCGGCATGGGCATTACAGGGCTGCATGGTGGATACGGAGGCCTATACAACAGTCTAGGAGGTCTTCACTCAGGCCTTGGCTACGGCGCAGCTGGTCTTTACCACGGTCTTCACAGTGGTCTTGGATACGGTGCAGTCGGTTTGCATGGTGGTCTCGGATACGCTGCCACCGGTCTCTACCATGGTCTTCATGGTGGCCTAGGATACGGTGCCGCCAGCCTATACCACGGTCTTCATGGGGGCCTTGGATATGGTGCCAGCAGTCTCTACCACGGTCTCCACGGTGGCATGGGCTACGGAGCTGCAGGTCTCTATCATGGCCTCCGCGGTGGTTTGGGCTATGGAGCCGCAGGTCTTTATCACGGGCTGCGCGGTGGTTTGGGCTACGGAGCCGCAGGCCTTTATCACGGCCTCCACAGTGGTTTGGGCTACGGAGCCGCAGGCCTCTATCACGGCTTGCACGGTGGTTTGGACTACGGAGCCACAGGTCTTTATCACGGACTCCACGGTGGCTTAGGCTATGGTGCAGCCGGACTTTACCACGGACTCCACAGTGGCATGGGCTACGGAGCTGTTGGACTACACAGTGGCCTCGGATATGGCATGGGAGGCCTGCACGGAGGTCTTTCGCACTCAGCTTACGGCCTCCACAGCGGAATGGGGATCGCTGGTGGCAGTCTTGCTTACGGCGCCGGAGGACTTTTCGGAGCCCATCATCCTCTACACACGGCCATGCATTCGTCAAGCTTTTCAAGTTACGGTGCTTACGGCGCAGGCTCCGGTTTGCTTCGACGCTGATTCTCATTAGGCGATTGCCGAAAACGACATGGAAAGAGAGGCTGAGCAGTTTTCATCGAAAACATTTTCTTAATAATAAAACGTTGTTCCAGATTTCCGCGCTGTTTTTTTACTTCGTTGCATTGTGTAGTTCTATATTTACCTCCCGTTTACGATTGTGTTTCGCTCCCAAGAAAGCGCACCCTTGGCTACACAGCAAGTATATTTGTGTCGAGTGTTAGCGAACGGCTAGGCCGTCCATGCCTACACTGTCCAGCCGCATGACAGGTAATCAATCATACATAGCTGGTAGAGGCCAAACAGCGTGAAAAGACAGGGACTGAGAAAAGGTGGACATGACACGAGCGCCGGCTTTCAGTCGAAAATGTTTATTAAAAACCGGCGTCGTATATGCTTACTGCGTGGGCTCTTTACAAGACAGGTAAACCCATTACAACACTCCTGGTTAGATACAAGATAGCTTACGTTAACACTGCTAACTATTACAATAATCTCAAAAGAAACTTTTGTTATCCGTGACGGGTATTGAAGGCTGACTGACACAGTTACGCCCTTTCTTCTCTATTCTGTGGGCCTCGAAGATTTCATGAGTCGGCTGATATCAGGTTCGTATGAAAAAACTTTATTTGGGTCCGTCTCATGCGGCCGAGAAAGAATCCTTGTTCAAAAGAAAAAATTCCGCGGTGCACCCGCGATCTCGGCGGTGCACTGCTAAGTGCATTGAGCAAACATGATTTCGGCGGTGCACTGCTAAGTGACTGAGCAAGCATCGAAATGCCCTGTGTCATTCAGGGTATTTCGATGCTCCCTCAGTTGTGTGGTTACGCATCGCCCTAATTGACCAATCTAAACACTTCCACACGTGAAGGGTGTACCAAGGGCTCGTGGAACAAAAACATTCGTGTTCTTAATGAAATATGATTCATTTACCAATGGGCCTTTTCCCACACGTTTTCAAACCGCTGCGCAGACATTGCCAACTTTATTCTTGGCTGCGAAAACAACTTCAACGTCATGGCGCGATCCTACCTTCTTCAGCCTACGCGAGAGCTGGTGAAAGTATTTTAGAACGACAATTTTTTCCTTTTCCTTTTCGTTGCCTTCCAGGTTACACTTCAAACTCTCGCGTAAGTAATCTTCTCGCAAGCCAGGAAAGCCACACCGTCTGTATAATTGGCTTCCTTTAGCCTAATTTTTTGTAACCGAACACTGTTTGGCATGTTATGGTCACAGAACTTGGTTACTGCAGACCTTAGGGTGGCAAAGGCGATGCCGTTTTTTGTGATTTTAGAATGGGTAGAAGCTAAGGAAAACAGGGGCTTTGAACTGCGAGGGTTGTATTCCTAACATACTCATGTATCCGAAAATGTCAAGCTTAAGTCTAAGAACTGCAAAACTCTTTGCGATGGCATTTCACGTGTGATTTTTTTTAAACAAGAGCTTTATTTGTAAGTTTTTCAGAGTATTAATCACATTGTTCGGGAAGTAGCTCCTACATGCAGAAATAGTGTAGTCCTTGACGTATCTGTGAACTCTCCTGGCGAGCCCGTTCTGGTTATCTCCAATTGCCCTCTAGACCTTGCCCAAGAAGATAAATTGCTAAGTGCCGGCGCCACTTTTGCCCCGATGCGCACCCCCGACTTCTGTAAGCAGACACCTCCTTTCCACCTGATTAAGGTATACTTAGCGTAGAGCGCTGGAAGTTGACACCTTCCACTGAAATTCCGCATTGGTTTCTGAAACACTGCTCATCGTTATCAGTCATTACACACTCCTTCATACTTTCCAGTAAGTGGTCTTGAAGCAAATAATAAAACAAACTTTGCGAAAGAAAAAGAAATGCCATTTCACCATACGTTCACCAGCTTTCGCGTAAAGTGTAAAAGGTGAGATCGCGTCATTGCTTCAAAGTTGTTTTCACAGCCATTAAAAAGTTGGCAATGTCAGCGCAGTGGTGAGAAGACGATTGGAAAAAGGCCCATCGGTGAATGACTCATGTTAGATTTAGCAAACAAATGTTTTTTGTGTCATATTCCATTGACGTTGTGTATACATACCCTTCACGTGTGGTAGTGTGCACATTGATCAATCTGGGCTATGTGTAAACTCGTGACTGAGGGAGCATCAAAAAAACCCAAAGGGTGCAATAGCTCGACGCAGCTGGTCATGCTGCCAAGATGCATGACGATAGTTATAGCGCGAGAACAAAACGACGACACAGAGACAAGAAGGACACGAAAGACACCGTGGAATTTTGTCAAACTAGGATTTTTTTCCGCCACCACGATCACTTGACACGTCGAATCTTCGAGGCGCTCAGAATATAGAAGACTGAACTGTGCCAGTCAGCCTTCAATGGTCCTCCTGTATACGGAAATTCCCTTTTTAGGATATTTTAACGGTCAGCAGTGTTAAGCTAAGTTACTTTGTATCTAGCCAGAAGTGTCACGAGTTTTACTTGCCTGGTAAAAGAGCATGCGCAGTAACAATATACCACGATGTTTCTTCAAAAAATTTCAGTTGACAGTCAACTCGCTGTTGCGTCTACGCTTTCCTCAGTCCCTGTTCTTTCGCATTGTTTTTCCTCTACGCGCTGCGAATCTTACTAAATTGCCCAATCTTCAATCCTACCTAAAGGCAAGTTGAGGCAACCGGTAATATGTAGCGTTTGGGCAATGATACTTGCCGCCTTGTTTTCTTCGCTGCAGTAGTCGACGCACAAGTTGGTTCCGTACGGTCTAACTGCTCAGGATGCGTTTTATAACAACGACTTTTTTCGAAAAACGATTTCTGCTTTATAATATGTGAAAACGAAGGCTTTAACAAAGCACAGGGCTTGCTGATACTTGGCTACTGACCCCCTACACAAACACTGAATATATTCAAAGAACACAATAGGCACATAGAAAAGATGAAAGGTTTAACAAAGCGGGAAGGAGAAAAGCGAGTACTTCATTAAACGCCTGCAGACATTTGTTATTGTTCCTTAAATTTCACAGGGCGTCGTGAAGTTCCATCGCTCTTTTGAAGCCGGCTTTGAAAAAGAATAACCTTCGTTCACTTCAGTGTCGGCAGGCATTTCCGAGGTCCCTGCGCGGTGGGTGCGGTGGTTCACCCGGCCTTGAAGAGCAGCACGGCAATGTTGCCCACGTAGAAGTACGTGAAACGCTTGGTCTCGTACGTGACGTAGGAGCCGAACGAGCGGCCCACCACGCAGTGCCAGGTGGGGCCGAACTTGCGGTCGAACTCGGTCTTGACGAACGCCGCCACATCACGCAAGATTTTGTGCTTGTCGAGGGCCGCCACGGTGACACTGATTGCTTCCTGCTGCATGTGGTCGGGTATGTCGGTGGCCTTCACCACCACCTTCCTGTTCATGGCTTGCGGGCTGACGGCCATGGCTGATGACGGGTCGCGGCCGGGCTCAAGACTGTACCACGTGGGCGACGGAGGGACAACTGGAACAGCGTCTTCGGTAGACGGAGGTCTTCGGAGACTGGAGGCGGACTTCTCAGGAGGCGTTGACTTGCCGGCCTCGGAGGGAACCGGGGATCGGGAGAGTCGAAGCTTAGAAACTAGCGGGAGCCGAAGGACATACCTGAAGCTCGTTCAGGGTGCGCGCTGAGCCAATGGTCGGTATCGGGGTGGTTGCGGAACTTCGTCGCCAGCTGACGACAGCGTTTCGGAAGTCGGCCTCTGGGTTGCTTCTTGGAGAGGCACTTCGGGAATCTTCTACGGGGCCATGATGCGGGCACGGCGAGAAATGGGGTACGGGATTTGCAGGTAATCGTGTGAAGGGGCCCTGGAACCGGACGAAGGCCGCAGGCGTGGCCAGGCCGCGATACAGGCCGGGCAACGAAGGCGCTGATTTTTCGGAGAATCGTGGCACGCGGCTTGCGATCCTGCACGCCCCAGGTGGCCTGCAAAATCTCTCGCGCAGTGGCAATGACAATGCGACTCAACCCTTAGGGACCATCTTTCGGAAAGAGAACAAAGAAGTGCGCGTGTTAAAAGCCCGTAATATAGTACTATTATAATTCGAGCCACGTCATTGATCTTCAAGCATTCATCGAATTGAAATGGTGAGTTTTTGTCAACTGAAGAGCTAAGTTTAATTTTATTATTCGTTTACCTCGATCCCCCGAGCTTTCACGAAATATCTTGTAATGAGAAAGAGCTACGCACTCGTTTTGAGAAGACAGTAGCTACCACGCTACACGCCAGTGCTATGTAGTGGGTAAGTGTCAATTGTAATTCTAATGTTGGAGCCATGTTGTTTAAGTTTCATGGAAATTTGGTTTTATGGAGCACGATCTTTCGAAAATTTCAATTAAACTATGCTTTTCAGTTTCTCTGACAAGCTCCCACGCCAGACGAGCAAGAGTCCTCCGAGGAATGAAATGAATTGATGCTTTTAGGGAACCATGGTGGAAATAGAGAATATAATGATAAGCCCGCATTTGTGGTGGCGGCCACAGACGGTCACCGAAAATGTTTTGTTTTTGTCGAATAGAATGGAAAAGAGAGCGCAAACTGCGCAAAATGGCCCCACGTGCTGTACAAATGAAAACTGCTTAATTATAATTTACATTTTTGAAAACTCTTCTCTGAGCATACTCATAGTGCCATCCGTACATCAAACATGTGACACGTTTATAATATATTAGAATGTCTCTTTCGCCTCATCGCTTTCGTCAAACCGAGTTTTAGTCGCTGTGTTCACTGAGGAGATGTCTTTCTCAAGTTATTGGCGGATCCAGAGGTCGAAAGGGGAGAGGAAATGCTGGTTTATCGTTTATTGACATATCAATGAATGAATGAAACAATCAGTCAATCAATCAATCAATCAGACATGCCGTGGAATCAAGAAAGAGGGTGGAGGTAGTGGTTACAGCTATAAACACCGACCCGCAGCTCGATGAGATGACTGTAGCTGTCCCTACATTGTGGACAACGGAAGGAACATAAAAATCACCATACAGGCAACGTCAGCACTTTATCGACACGATGATAGCATATAAAGACAAATCCTTAGACGCCCCATCATATGCGGTAGGTATGTAATAAAAGCTGGCCAAAAGACACGTGACAGTTAAATGAATGTGTGTGTTCAGTAAGTGTATGAAAAGTCACATGTCCTCGATACAACATCACGCCATGATGACTTCATCGCAGAGCACTGTCACTCTGTCAAACGTGAGGCCGATCATGGAAGCTTTGCCAAACCATGTGTTGTACAGAAGTTTGTAATGCCACCTATATTGAAGGCCGTGCAAAACGACGTCAGTCGCAGAAACTTTTCGAAGGAGGGCAAGGTACGAAGGGATAGGAGATGGCTTTTGCCTGTGAGTCGTCTTGGGAGAATGCATGTGGAACTTTGGGAGTTTTTTAGAATGTAACTTGTTGGGAGTTTTTTTGGCAATGCAACTTGTTGGTAATGTGTGAGAACGTAACCTGTTGAAAGTTTTTGAGTATGTAACTTGTTGGGAGATTTTGAGAAAACTTGCTGGTACAGGCAACATGAATTCAGTTGCATGTAATTTAATAAATTTGTATACATACTTGCTTTTGAGTTTATTGCACGTAAATTGAATGTTACGTGAATCGAATGAGAAATGCTTGCATGAAAGCGGAGAGAGCAGGAGAAGTTCCTCGGCACTTAATGGAGCTTAGCTGGGTTCCCTGCCTGGGACAAACATGCTTGAAAGCCCCCTCACTTAAGGTATAAGAAATGACGAATGCAGATTTACTCGAAAGTGGAGACGTTGCTCAACGATTGACTCCGGTTCCTTTCATGCAAATGTGAGTCGGCTAGTCAGAAGGATAGCATGACTTGCTCGAAGGAAGGGCGTCACGTCGCCGTACGCTCAAAAGTCACTGTGGGCGGTGTCTGTCGATACGAGGACCTCTTTTTGCCTAGGAGCAAACTAGCTTCTCATATCTTTTTTTATCGAGGATGGTGGGGCTGTATGAAGAACAATGAGTAATGGATGGCGTTTGATATTTTAGAGTGCCGCCTCACGTGCGAGCCCTTTTAGCTTCCATGCTTTCGCCAGTGTGCTTCTATCTACTCCGCAGCGATGTGTCGCAACACATGCACGCGCGTGGCTTTACTTCAAAAAAAAAAAAAAATCACGGGAAATGCGCACCTTTCTTTCCGCGACAGCCAAGACAAAAGCAAACACAAAACATACGGGGTCGCGACTCACATTTCAGGAGACACAAGGGCGTCTCTAACATTGCGCAACCTGAGCTTGTCGGCTTTACCTAATGCTTTCTTTGTTCCCTTGGAATAGGGCAGCGTACCTGGCTTTTGAGTCTGCTTTATTAGTTTTTTTTTTGTTTTGGCCTGATGATAGCCAACCGATTTAAAAAAAATTGCCCGCAGCTTCCCTCGGGGGAACACTGAGGAGGATGCGGACCATATAATTGGTTAACGGGGTGTTAAAGTGCGACTTACTTGGGTCGATGGCTAAATTGGTTAACGTGGTTGTGAAATGGGGTGTTAAATTGCGACTTACTTGGGTCGATGGCTAAATTGGTTAACGTGGTTGTAGGAGGGGGTGTTAAATGAGTGAACACGTACACACGTATGCGAAAGGGCGGCGCTGGTCGAAGGGCCGTCGATCATTGTGTTTGTGGATTCGTTGGAATTCATTTCACCGCGACCTTGGACGTCGACGCGCCGTACAAACCAACCGACGAGCGGCAACTGAGCGAGCGAGCGCCGACCTTGAGTATATATACAGCACGACGGCGCATGCACTGTCAGCTGTTGAATGTTCTCGAAGCGCGACGCCACATGCGCGTCCACTGGAGAATCAGGAGAATTGTAGATGTCGAACGCGGTGTGTAGAGGAGGAAGGGTGCACAGATGGTGGAGGAGTGAAGCGCGCGCGGTGTGTAGAGGAGGAAGGGATGCACAGATGGTGGAAGAGTGGGCGACGGCGCGACGGCGCATGCGCGCGCGTCAGCTGTCGAATGTTCGAGAAGCGGCGCGGACGGCGCGGACGGCGCACTACAAGGCGCGAGTATAAGATGCTCCGCATCTAATACAACCTTCAGCAGTGACCCAGCGGTGTTGACACCCCGAATTGGAGCTTGCTGGTTCGATTCCCAGCCGCGGTAACGAAAATTCGTGTAGCTATAGTTTTAATCGTTCGAGAAGTAGCCACACATCTGTAAGCTTCAGTCGCAGTATTCTCCCCTGTGGCGTCCCTCACAGCAGTCTTGTCTGACTCGTCCACCGTGGTAGGACAGAGGTAACCATGCTGGGCTGCCGAAGTTCGTGGGTTCGATCCCGGCTGCGTCAGCCGCATTTCGACGCAGATGAAATGCTACGGGTCCATGTACTGTGCCACGTCAGTGCATGTTAAAAAACACCGCATGGCCGAAATCTCCGGAGCCCGCCACTACGGTGTGTCTAATAATCCAGTGTTCTTGTTTTGGAAAGTAAAACCAGACTGTTTTCGGAGACATTTGGGGCCGGGTACCCCCAGCCACCCACGTATACGCACGCTCTTGCGTTCCTCTGTACTACCAGGTGCACCCACAGAAAAAGCAAAGGAAAGCAAGTACATGCGTACGCAAGCCGCTTTTGGGGCCCCGGATCTAAAACTTGCATTTTTTCACTTGCATTGTTGCAATGCAATGTTACACAGGGACGTGAAACTACGATTACGATCGACTGATTTCGTGTCATACGGTTCGCGATCATGACGATCAATCAATCAATCAATCAATCAATCAATCAATCAATCAATCAATCAATCAATCAATCAATCAATCAATCAATCCCGTGAATGCTTGCTGTTCTTTCACGACAAAGCGCGAAAAAGTACCGAAACAACACAGATACATGTGCATTCCATCCAACGAGTCGCACATAAATATGCTGCTGCGATATGATGGCGCCATCGCTGTTCACGTTCGCACTCATCTCAGATTTCGCGATCACTTGCGGCTCACTCGGCGTACTCTGCATCATTTGTTCAGGTTGAGGCAGCAAAGACGTTCGTCGAAGAAGCGTATAGGGCAGAGACAATGGACCGGATCTTGCCCGACGATGTATCCTGTGATACCGCGACGGAGAACGCCTTATGTACACGCAGACTAGGCCAGAAGACAGGTGGCTACACAGAAACGCATTATAAGCCTGCGTATACGCGAAAACAAACTCGTTGTACAGGACTGCGCCGTATGTATGTGTGTTAGCGCGCGTGTGTGTAGCCTTTCGCGTGTTGGCGCTTCCGCGGTTGTCCTCTGATTGAAGCCCACCTCTCCCACGTTATTACTTTTTTGCTTCCTTCAGTTTATCCTCTCCCTGCACGCTATGCCTCGACGGTTGGCCCAGCAGCGCTACTAGGGTCTCTAGGGACAACCGCACGGAGCGCCGTTTG